TGGGCAAATCAGAGGCTACATGCTCCAGTTCCCAGCCTTTGCACATATCCATTCTCAACAGTTGTAATCATGTACTTGCTTGTGTGAACTGGGATTGAGAATGTAAAAAGAAAATCAAATGCAATTTAAAGCTTTCCGTTGCGTACATTTATGCAGCGTGCTTTTTATGTTAAGTTCTAACCTCGATTATTTTTAGTTCCTGGATGTGGTCTTCCAGTACTTTCGCGAAATGAAGTACTCTCGTTATCATCATTTCATCAAACCGGTTCTTTGGGGGCAACTATGCTATGATACTTTTCTGGTGAAGAATAACATTTTCCGGGCCATGGAAAGTGAGCCTTTATATTTGAAGCACTCACCTCGTGACCAACTTTTTTATTCTTCTGGGAAGTATTGCAATACATTAATGGAAGAAAGTTTGATAAAAACCCAGCGTGTTTTTTTTTATCCAAAAGAGAAGAAGAATGAGGATTTTATTAAGCCAAATGAAATACTGACTTGCCTTTTTCTTCCTTTTTTTTTAAACGTGGAATGAAAGCTTTACTCTCAAGGTTATATTTTTATTCTCGCATCCAAAAGTTATATAACCATGGTCATCAATATCTTGATCAGCTGGAGATTTATCTTTACTTCTTCTTATGAAGAGGTAGCTGAAAAGAGAAAAAACAATAACAATAATACAGCATTCTTGTGGGCATCCCCTCACTGCCCAAATCTTCCTCCTAGGTAGTGGGTTTCCAAACCTTTTGACTATGCTTGTGCAGCATTGTCATATACTCAAGTGGAAAATTTTTACAGCAACACCATGAATGCTGTTTTCCATATGTTTCTCCTAAATAATTATAGTAGATTAAAAAATTAATCTAAAAAACCACGTTTTTCAAGTAAGACTAAAAAGCACAAAAAATTTAGTAGATTAAAAAATTAATCTAAAAAACTATGTTTTCAAAAAGCAAAAAATAACCTTAAATGTGGTGCGCATCTATTTCATTTGTATTTCACTTCTTCCCAACAATCTCCATGCGCACCACGTTTAAGGTTATTTTTTGCTTTTTGAAAACGTGGTTTTTTAGATTAATTTTTTAATCTACTATAATTATTTTATTCTTTTTAAAAAATATTCTTAAAATTTATTTTTTCACAAAAGATTGCNCCAGGCTGACTGTCACAAGAATGTTTTGCAAATTTTATCAAACAGAGCTGACACTTTTTGCCCCTCCAACAAGGAATATTTTCCTGAGCACTACCTGGTTTTCAGATCAATCATACCCAGCAAATAATTCACCCATATTTTCACCCATACCAAACTTGAATCAAATGGGTGACAGTCACCTGTATCAAGATACAGACATAGGGGTGTTTGATGTGGGTGACACACATAACAGTCACCTGCATCCCAATATGGGTGTGACACCTGTATTGGGATACAGGCAAAGCACCCCCCCCTCCCCCGCCTCTGAATACAACTGAAAAGCACCCATGTCAGCACAGCTGTACTTTATTGGTTTGCTATGGGTTCTGTAATGCCTTATTTTAAGTTCTTGTCCTGCTACCATATCACTAGTATCCAGACAATTCACCAGTATTCAGCCAACCATGGATTACACTTTTGCTACTTTTTTATTACAGTATACACTTCAGATATCATGTCTGATTTGTACACCTAAGAAAAATTACACCTGATTATTTGCAGGGTATATGGAGTTTCAATTCTTATGCATAGAACTTTTGTTAGACCCCCTCTTATATAATGGTCGGGGACCACATGCCGTTCAAAGGGCGCCAGAGCTTGAGTGGAGCCATGCCCGCCCAATAAATTTCTCCGCCGCCAGCACTGATTCTTGGACGCCGCTTCTTTCCCAGCTGGTCTAATTGGTGATGGAGGGTCAAATACAGCCGCCGCGTTCCCAAGTTCCTTGGCTTTCACGCACACTGTAAGATACCTGTATACCAGCCCAAGCTGGGCGTCAAAAATGGTTACCAGCAGCAACGAACGATTTGTATCTTCCATCTCTCTCTCGAATATACATACGGTATATACTGTACTGTATATTTATTTCTGCCGCCGCGGGCTATGGTGATGGGAGTCGCATTCCACTTCCTTTCTTTTCCCTTTCCTTTTGCTTCTTTGGAACTTGATCACGACTGCCAGTGCTGCAATGGACTCTGTCAAGTGACATCCAACTCCGCGATGTGTTCTCTTTTTTTCTTTTTACTGTGCCTGAAGGTTGAAATTGAGTGATAGTTGTTCGATATTAATATAAGCGGAAAATACTAAAAATTATACTGCATGTGACTAAAAACTTACGGGAGAGTTATTGACGTCTATGCTGGTGTATATTCATGACATGAAGGCGATAAACAAAAAGTGAGAATAACAGAGATCAACATACCCTGACGAGTTTTTGGTATCCAACAAAAATTAGATTTTTAAATACAAGCAAAAGCTCGATTGACTCGTACAATTCTTCTTAAAGCAACAAAAGATGGAATCTTCAGAGGAGTTTTTCCAACAAAGATACACTTGTATACAGTGGAATTTGAGGTGCAGACATAAGTTGTGCTTGGTCCTTGTCGCTATGAAGTATGTCATCCATATTTTGGATTACTCTTTTCCTAAATATTAACATCCAAACATCTTCGATTGATACTTGATGTTTCTCAGAAATTAGGAACAAGTCCCCCACAAATTGAATGAAAAATTGCTTCCCTTAGCTTCAAGATTCAAAAGAAAAGTGTCCAGAAGAAAACCACATAGAATCTTTTCTTCTGGCATCAAAAGCTCAAAAAGCTATAAGAACGTGAATAAGTCTTGCTACAATGTGCACAGATGACAGAAAGAAACTTTGAAAAGAAGAATCATAAAATCATCAGCCTGTTTTTGATTATGCATCAGAGTGAATTGACAATGAAATGCATTTTAAATTTTTGTGTATATAAACAGCTCAATTTCTTCAAATGATCAATAAAAAATATTTTTTCTGGCAAATATCAGCAAATTGTCCCTATCTTGAGCCATCCATTGTCTTGATGTTGGGTCCAATTTTTTCAAGTTTCAAGTGTTCCTAATCCAAATTGTTGGTATGTCAGAATGTCTGATGCATGTTGGGGTCTCAGTGTATTTAAGCAGAGCATAATAAATCAGGATTAAGAGGATAAATTCCCCATAAAAATATTTATTGGAGTATTATGATTTGCGATTTTAATTCATAATGCTCAATGCACCACGCTCACACTTTTCCTGTGGCAACGTCTCACTTCACCACTGCACATAAATATATACAGTAGAATCGTGTTACAACAAACTACCAGGGAGTGGCAAAAAAATGTGTTGCAATGAAAAATTTGTTATATAAATTATTCGGATATAAATACNCTCACACTTTTCCTGTGGCAACGTCTCACTTCACCACTGCACATAAATATATACAGTAGAATCGTGTTACAACAAACTACCAGGGAGTGGCAAAAAAATGTGTTGCAATGAAAAATTTGTTATATAAATTATTCGGATATAAATACACTTCATCATCTGGAAAAGCATTTTATTGCCTAAAGTACAGTAGTCATTTTTTTTTCTCTGCAATATCTGTAAATATATAATTAGTCTTTTATGAAATTATTAAATTTGACAATGAATTTGAAATTTTAAAAAATAACTCAAAACAGAAGAGCTTTGCCTAAAGTACAGTAGTCATTTTTTTTTCTCTGCAATATCTGTAAATATATAATTAGTCTTTTATGAAATTATTAAATTTGACAATGAATTTGAAATTTTAAAAAATAACTCAAAACAGAAGAGCTATTGAATAAGAACAGATTTTCACATTTGTTGGTGGCTAGCTTGGCACTGTGCTTCCAGACTCATGAGACAATGGATATTTGATTAATCAGGATACATTTATTTTATGGGCTTCCTGCTGGTCAGCTAATGTAACCCATTTTTAGCTTCCTGTATTTTCAAGGGTATCATTTTGTTTAAGACACATTTCCTGTCCACTATCTACAGATGATGATCCTCAGGTAATTATAATACAGTATGAAAATCAGGGACAAAAAAATGAAAATTGGGGGGGGATCTGAAAATTGAACTAAGAATTTTAAAAATTTGGGAGAAAAACATGTTGTAATTGGAGATTCTGTAAAAAACGAATTTGTTAAAATGAGATAAATTTAAGCTGTGCCTTGAGGATAACTGCCAGGACTAGAAAAATGTGTTTTAAGCAAAGATTTTTTACAAAAAAAAAGATTTGTTGTAATCAGATTCGGCTGTATAACTTTTTGACAGTTTAACATGAGAAATGCATGCCAAGTGCTCTCTATTACAGTATACAGGTGCAAAACAATTGCACTCTTTGTGCCACATAAAGCACACTGAGTTCATAATGCAGGTGGTACCTTACATCTCAATCTCCAGCAATCATGACAGTGCTGCAATTCAACAGTCAAATTTTCGGTGATGTTGACTCTCAATTTGACCACTGCCATGAAATTTGAACCATGGAGAGACATGAAACATCAAATTCCTTGTAGAAAACATGCCATTTGATGATTTGACAGATTGTCCTGACTACTTTGCAATTTACCCATAATCCAGCAATGGATTAGGGTTGAATTGCGAGGTACCACCTGTAGTTCAAGAAGCCCACAGTCAAAAGTCAACTCCTGAATGCAGGCAATATTTTTATGCAATCCAGTGCAAAAAAAATCCACAGGAGCAAAGAAAGGCAACTCTTTTTTTTGGAATTTCCATAAAAAGACCTAGACCTATTTGTTCTTTACTAATAATCAGTCTTGAGAATTCACAATCCAAATCCTAGGGTCCCAGCACCCTTGTTTGCCTACTTACTTTGCAAGTCCATATATTAGCAATCCAACTTCCATTTCGATGCTTATTGAAAGTGACAGTTGGATCCGAAGTAATCAGCCGCATTTTCGTCGAGTTCAAAACACCAATGGAAAATTCCTTGCATCATTTTCCAAGTAATTGGTTCCTCTCCAGAATCTGTGGGCAGCAGTGGAAAAGTGAAATAATTCCGAATATTCGAGCAAGATGCCAGCAACAACGGAAGAGCACATTGGCAACGCTCTAATCAATGGTCTGGATGAGCTGCGTGACACAAAAAATACGCCATTGGTGTTTTTTGTCAATGGGGTCAAGGTACGTATTGTTCATGCAGTAAATTGATTTTAATTTTGAAAAGCATGAAGAAAAAAAAATTTACGGGTGACTTTCCCTCACAAAAAAAATCAAGGGACCAGGGAAAATTTTGGTGTAGAGATAATTTCATTCTATAGAAATTCAACTTAATTCAAGGGACAAGAAAAAAATTTGTTGAGAGAATTTTGTTATAGACTACTGTATTCAGAGAACCACTGTAAAATGGAAAGAGAACCCTATGAGACCAAAATAAAATGTATAAAAAGAATATATTTGCATGCAGACAAGACCCTTATCTTCATGCATAAGAGAGTGCACCTGTATGAATCTGGAAACACTCAGAGTTTGTTTTATTCTTTTTTGTTCATGGATAAAATTTGGCACCAGAACTCCAAAATTTTTACAATTGTGGTGAACCCTGTGAAAAGTTAAAACAGCAATGCATTGCACTGAACACAGAACGTATTTTAATTTAGAACACCATACATTGCTTGTATTCAGTTTCTGACTAAAATTATGAAAATAACTACTCAAACTTTACAACTGTTCCAAATAAACTTTGCAAATGTACAACCTTTTGCTATATGCAGGAGATAAATTTTATGGGTTAGGAATATTTTTCTTGAAATTCTTGAAAGAAATCAATATCTTCAGGAACTGCTGATCACTGCAAGATCACATTTTTTTTCGATTCAGATGCCAACATGCAATACGCCAAGTTCTTGTGTGCTTCTCATTTCTCTGTAAATGAAAACCCCGGTGATATATTTGAGAGGATGCAAAACATTTATCTGCTTGGTTTATCTTTTTAATCCTGTAGGCAAACATTTTTTTAATACAAAAGAAGTTGGAATTTAGTTGGTGTTCATTCATAAATGTAGTAGGGGAAGATCTCTTCAGTGGGAAATATTTTGTATCATTTATCAAAGGGTGGCACTTCTAAGGATTTACACATCTCAAAACCAAAAATTTTCAAAAAAATGCTCCTCTGCACCTCCTGTCAATTGATTCAAGTAGCAATTTAAGGCCTAGAATGTCAATATTTATAATGACCTGCAATTCTTACATCTTCCTAACAAAAAAATGCTTACTTCCCTAATCTGCAACCTGGCTAAATCAAAGCCTATCATCTAAGTCAGGGCTTTTCAACCAGTGGTACGCGTACCCCAAGGGGTACGCGAGTGCTTGCCAGGGGGTACGCCAACCACTGTTGACCAAAAAAAAAAAAAAAAAACCAGGCGTTCTGACCAGAAGGGTGGAGGTAAAAATTGCTTGAGTGTCTGGTTGCTATCCTAGGTTCCCACTTTTTAAAATTTTTGCCAGCCCTCCCTTCCTTCCTGCCTCTTAGCTCCCTCCCACAGAGCCCCAGAGAGGCCTGCAGGTGGGTTACATTTCCCATTGTCTGGAATTTAAAAATTTGTCAAAAATTCAATTTGAACTCAATTTTCAAATTTCTTCGATTTTTGCAGGTGCACAAATGTTTTCTGAATATTTGTTTTTGAAATTTTGAAAAAGCTTCAAAATTGAGTGAGATATGACAAATGCAAAACATTTTTGAAAATCAATTCAAAATTGGGAAAAATTGTTTTACATTTTAATTTTCAGCTAATTCATTTTACAAAATGTGTCATAATTTAAAAATTCCTAAAATTTTAAACATTTATTGTGCATCTAGCCCTGCAAGAAATTTTGAAATAAAGCAAATTTTAAAGAAACTATAGTGAGCTAAAGAGAAATTGTTTAATTTTTGTGTTGTGTTTCTCAAAATTCAAAAATTTGCTAAACATTCAATATTCAACCAAACTAAGTTTTAAAACTTTTATTACAAACATCATGGTGTTTGCTACATTTAATTTTGTTTACATTTTCAAAAAGGTTGCAAATTGATGGATTGACAATGAAAAACTCGAAACTTTTTTCAAAATCAGGAGAAAATTGAAAAAAATCTTTTCCACATTTTTATTTTCAACTGATTCAACTTCCCACATTCTCCTCATTAAAAAATATATACATTTTTAAAACTTTAGTGTGCATCTAACCCTGCAATAAACTTTTAAATTGATCAAATTTTAAAGAAATTACAGTGAGCTAAATTTAAAAATTTCAATTTTTGCATCCCAATTTTGACATTTTAAAAATTTAAAAAAATTGTTTTATGGCAACAAACTTCAAAATTGAAAGAAAAGGTAAGATGGGTGGTAAAGGGTTCCATGTTTCTTAGTTTAAACTCTACAAAATATCAAGGATTGACAGAGTTATGATGAAAAACACAAAACTTTTTCAAAAATTGAGTCTCCCAGAAACATTATCATGAATTCTGAAAATTCCTAACATTAAATTCTTTTAGGAAAAGAAAAATTCAAGCTTTTCAGCTTTCTGGATAATGCCAGAGACAAACATGTTGGATACACAAAATTAATCAGCCATTGTGCAAGCAAGAGCATTAAACCAAGAACTTGCCAAGCTTCAGTCTGGTTTGCAGAAAAATGGCTCTCAAAGAATGCACAAATGCCAAGACTTCAGCACCCAACAGTTTATTCATAACTCTGCAGTGCTTCCAATTTAGATGCATGGTTGGAACACTTCCTCTGAGTGCCCAAAACTCATCCAAATTGTTTACTCTTTTCTCAGCAAATTGATTTTTTTCCTGACAACTACTTTTTTGGGCATTTTCTGCTGCAGCTTAATTCAAATATTTTATGTTGAACTTTGAATTGTAATGAGTGATGATGATTATTGATTCCATCACACCTTGAGGGTTGCTAAAATTGTCTTTCACACTCAAGAAATATCTTCAGGAAATTCACTTGGAAAATAATGCTGCTTCTCTGTACTTTTTAAAAATAGAGTTTGTCCTGAATTGATTGCTACAATGAATGACAAGTGAATTCACTAGGTGTTTCTATGATGAACAGTTTAACTCTGACATACATGAGTATTAATAAGGCTGGTCAATGTGGAGGCAAGGCACAGTGCTTCATTTTTTTTCAATGTAATATTTGATGATGCTGAACCTGCTGAATTTCAATGCATTTAATTTCTATGTAGAAGGTGTGGCAGGCAAATAATTTAGTATGAATCAATTTCTCAATGAACCAAAGGTGCAAAATGAAAGTGATCTGGCCCAAGAATAACCTGCTGGGAACTAATTTGTTTTTGTACTTCATGGAACTAGTATTTTTAATTTACAGAAAATAAAGCATTCACTGGTTCAAAACTTTCACAGTCCATATTTAACATACATTGTTTGCCTGATGCATCATCTTCATCAATAAAGGGGAATGACAAGAAAGATTTGATGGAGTAAATTATGTTTTAATGTATTAAGAAAGCTTCAAGGAAATGTTAGAAAATATGGTCAATTACATGATTTAAACACACATTTTAAGTTAGTGGTGGGGGTACCTGACTGTTCCAGAGGATGCATAGGGGTACGCGCTTCAAAAAGGTTGAAAAGCCCTGATCTAAGTCAATTATTTTTTTGCTGGTCCATTGAAATTCAACTTAGATGGCTTTGACATGCAGCAGTACTTATGCACAATCTGCACTCACTGCAAGAATTTCAGGAAGACCATCACAATTTCAAGTGTACAGTTTTCCTCCTGATTTATCACCCAGAAAATGTTTTCCAGGTATCAGATGCTGATGTGGAGCCAGAGATGACGCTGCTGGAGTACTTGCGGACCAAATGTATCCTTTTTCAGACTAACAAGGCACAGCCTAATCTTTAGTGGCTTTAAAAATTAAATTTCAGCTATTTTTTCCTTTATGAGGGAGAATGCACAACTGACTCCACACAGTGTTTTTGACTGGCACAAAGCTTGGCTGTGGAGAAGGTGGATGTGGGGCTTGCACAGTCATGGTGTCCAGATTCAATCCACACACTCAAAAGCACAGGTAAGAAAAGGATAAGACTGTCTTGGATCTTCCTTTTTTCTTTTATTACATACAGTATATTGAGACTTTAAGGAGAGTTCCTTTTTTTTCTTTGTGGTGATTGGGAACACCTGAACTATTCTTTGCTATATGGACAAAGCAGCGCTCTAGACTTGGTAATTTTCTCAGATATAGGACAGGACACTGGAAAACTTCCAAACATCAATTAGATGCACTGAAGCAGAACAAATGGGTACTTTCCTGTTATCTCAGTACCTACTTTCTGTGTTATTTTATATAACTGTTGAGTTTGGCGCACAAAGTACAATACTGTACACATTGTTGGTAATCTAAATGAACAATTTTACCTGACCTAACCTAACTTCACCTTACTGCGTCCCAAAATCAGTTTCTGCTTTCTTTGGGTTTCTGCTGAAACTGATTTTGGGAGGCAGTTAGGTAAAGTTAGGTTAGGTCAGGTTATGTTAGCTACAAATATCTTTTAATTAACATAACCTGACCTAACCTAACTTTACCTAACTGTTGTTTCTGCATTCTGCTGAAACTGATTTTGGGAGGCGGTTAGGTAAAGTTAGGTTAGGTCAGGTTATGTTAGCTACAAATATCNTTTTGTTCTTCTCGCAAATTGCATTTGGCAGCCACTTGGCCGTGAACGCGTGTCTGGCGCCCATCTGCTCCATCCACCTGGCAGCCGTGACCACGGTGGAGGGCATCGGCACCACCGCTGGCGACCAGCTCCACGCTGCCCAGGAGCGGATTGCTCGGGCCCACGGGTCCCAGTGCGGGTTCTGCACCCCGGGTTTCGTCATGTCCGTCTACGCCCTGTTGCGCAACACGTACGGAAGAGATGATGGTGGTGGTGGTGGTGGTGGTGGTGATGCAGCACCGCCCACGATGGCGCAGCTCCTGGAGTCTCTGCAGGGCAACTTGTGTCGGTGCACGGGCTACAGGCCCATCCTAGATGGCTACAAGACCTTCACCAAGGAGTACTTGGACTCTACTAATGGCGCCATCTTTGCCGGGGCGGGTTGCTGTGGCAAAATGGTGAATGGCACTTGTTGCCAACAACAACAACAACAACAACAACTGCAACCACCACAATTACTCATCAATGGTGTTGCAGAATCCAGCTTCAAGCCATATGATCCCAGTCAAGACCCCATCTTCCCACCTGAGTTGCAGCTGCTGCTCATGGACCATCAACACAATAATAATTCTGGGGACCGAGTGTGTCCAGTCTTGGCCAGTTGGACAGGAAGGAAGGTGACCTGGTACAGGCCTTCCACAGTGCAGCAGCTCTTGCAGCTCAAGTCTCACTACAAGGATGGGTGTAAGATTGTGGCTGGCAACACTGAAATTGGTCAGTACATTGATAAAAAAAAGAACAAAGTAAAACCATAATGTCTGCCCTGAATTCATTATTTTTTTCAAATATTTTAAACAGTAAGGACCCTTGGTTAACAAGCTTAAAGTGGTTCCAGACAAACATCTGCTAGCTAAACTTGATTTTCCCTTAGACCTCTACATAGAGAACCAATTGATCCAGTCCTGGCACCCAAAATACAATTGAAGATTTAATTTTTTGAAAACATCAGCACAAAAATTTAATCAGAATGAGTTACTGTAGCACCCTGTTCATGTTCACAACATATTTTACATCTGGATGGAAATATGACTTATGAAAACACCACTCAAAAAGCTTCACATCCAGAAAAGCATGCACATATGAGTTTAGGATAACTGTTGCCAGAAGATAAAATTTCAATTTTACAATAATTAATGCTGTAACTAAAGAGAAAATTTTACAGATACACAGTGGGAAAAGCTATACAAAATGTTTGAAAGCGCATTTGTCCACAGCTTTGTACAGCTGGATATCATTTGTTAAATTTATTCTGCCCAAGCATGGAACATCCATGGCACACTCTCATTTACTAGCTCACTCGGTGTTAAAAAAGAACTTTAAAAATGTTGTGTAAGCCTTTGGCCATCCTAATACTTTTTTGCTTTATTTTTTCAATTGTAAATGTAAATTGATTGTACCCTCAAGTTAGGTGTAATATCAACATTTGGAATTTGAAAATTTTGAATTTTTGCCTGTGAATGGAAGTTTGTGGACACAATTTTGGTTTGTCACCACTGATTTTTTGTTCAAGCACAAAATTTTAATGGCCAAAAAGTTTGTTAGCCAGGTTTTTTTTCAAACAAGGGTCTACTACTCTACTGTATAAAATCTCATGATTCTCTAGTGAAATCCCATAAGAACAAATCCTTTGGATAACCAGCGCAGGTTGTTCCTTACAATTTGGCCCTAATCCTTTGCCAGACTAGGGTTGAATTTCAAAGCAGTTGAATTTCAGAACAGTTTGTAAAACTGAGAAATATCAGCACAAAAATGCAAAAAAGCAGCCAAAGCAGGTTGAATTCCAGGGCAGAGGTCAAATTGCAACTCAACCTCTGTACAAATTTGATCTTTGAATTGCAGGACAATTGAATTGTGGGAGGTTGAATTGCAAGGTACCACCTGTGCTGTCATATACCTTTTATTTGAAAAATATTATCAAGGCAGAAACCTATACAAACAAATACACTGCATGCAATATTTTTTTTAAACAAGATTTCACAATTTCAGGCTTGGAAACAAGGCAGAAGGGACTCCATTATCCAGTTCTCATTGACATACAGGAAGCAATAGCACAGGATTCTGAGCTGAAGGTGACACAATTACTGGTGAAAAAAAACAATGGCAGCATGTGGATTGGTGGAGCCATGACACTCAGTGCTTTCCAGAGTGCATTAAATGAGCTCGTTGCCACAACTGTCAATAATGACCAGGACAAGGACCAGCAGTTGTCAGGTACACATCAATTATTGTCAATATGCGCTGTTGTGCCTTTGTCAAAAATCATAAAATTCACCAGCTCTATTTCTGCAGTTGTTTTGTCGCTCATGGCATTCATTGTATATGACACCATGTCCTATAGTTGTAATACGCACATAATACTGACCTGGGAAATCATTTAGTTGGTTACAGCACATGCATCAAAATCAATGTAAAAAAACGAAAATAGTTTTCAAAATTCCAAAGTGGAAAAGGACAAAAATAAATAAAAACTCCTTTGAAGTTTGAATTCATTCCCCTTCAAATTCAAATTTTCCTTCTGATATATGTGGTCCTCATTTGGGAATGCACTTTTATGAAAATTAGAGTGTTCTTGCTTTCTACAAAAAATTCTTCGATTTTTTTCTTAATTTTTTACTCAACTTAGGGTTTGATTGTTTCTCAAGTAATATTTTTTTAGGCAAAATGGCAGTCAGTCCTAGATCTTTTCATATAACTGTTCATTGCTCATAGCAGTCATAGGACATTCACTGCTGTCCTAAAAAAAGGCTCCAATGGCATGACAAAACTTCTTCTTAAGTATGGCGCACTTCTGTCCATACCTTGAAAAATTGCTGATGAAATAATTTCTGCACGCATTATGTCTTATACAGTACTGTACAGTAAAATACATATTATTGCACTCCTGTGAATATATAGGACTAGGAAGGAATATCTGTTCCGAGTTCCTGTCCATGCTTCACTGGTTTGCTGGCAAGCAAATACGCAACGTGGCTGTAAGTACTTTTCCATCATGAACTTCGCAGAAAATTAGCAGTGCACATAATGACATACAAGCATGTGCTGGTCCTCGACCATCTTCGTTTGAGGGGTCTAACAAAACTTATCAGATTAAAAATTAAAGCGGCACACAAAAAATCGGGCTGAAAAATAATTATTGTTCAAATACTGTAAATCATTCTTCGGCAGGAGAAAAAAATAGCCCTGCTTTGCAAAATATTTGCGCATTCACAGCCGCCGCCTTATCTCATCCTAACTGGCGGCTGTTGATGGAAATGGCGGAATGACCTCAAACGACCTGTATAAGAGGCAACCCTTGGAGTTAATGCCATGTCAATTTCAAGAAATCTGAAGGATAAGCTGGGTGACACCATTTGCAAGATGGACACTTCATCTATTGAGTAAAAAGCAGAAAGCTGCCAGGGTAATCAAGCAAAAGTTTTCGAATGGGGCTGAATTTTTTTTTTATTGTGCCAAAAGAATTTTTGCTTTTTTTTGCTTTCCAGCTCAATTGTACGCCATTTCAATTTATATTCTGAAAACTTCTGTGAGACCCCTTGTATATATACATACAACAAGGAGACCCCAACCTTCGTACAATTCAACTTGGGGACACTGAAACTTTGAAAAATCTGACCCAGCATTTGGACAATATCTCAACATTTGAGCAATTNCTTTTTTTTGCATTTTTGTACTGATATTTTTGAATTTCACAAAGTGTCTTCCAATTTGACCTCTTTGCAATTTGACCCTAGTTTGGCAACAGATTAGAGTCAAATTGCAAGGTACCATATATAGTGGTGTACAATGGCCCCCCGCCTAACAGACCTCCCATGTAAGGGATTTTTGCCAAACAGACCAGCTCTGCAAGCAGTTTTTCCTCCCACCCAACAGACAAAATCCGCCAAACAGACTTCTTTTGGTTTAAAATTAGTGTTGAAAATTGAAATTTTTAATTTTTTATGTAATTTAATTTGTGTAAAGGACTTTTTGTCTAACAGACTTGTCCATTGCACAAATCAAGTCCGTTAGACAGGGGTTGACTGTAATTCACACTCCGCCTATTCATACAGACTGTAGCTGGAAACCTGGTGACCAGCAGCCCCATCTCAGACCTGAACCCTTTGTTCCTGGCCGCCGGAGCAGAAGTGCACGTGGTTGGACTCAACAACAAGACTGGTGACCTGACCCGGGTCACAGTGCCCATGAACGCAGACTTCTTCACGGGATACAGAAGGAACGCCTTGGGCAAAGATGCGTTCGTCGCTGGCATAACCCTGCCCATCGCAACACCCGCTGATGATGGGCACGTTTTCTTCAAGGGGTACAAAGTGGCCCGCAGACGCGAGGATGACATTTCTATAGTGAATGCGGGTTTCTGGCTCAGTCTGGGTCAACGTCATGAGCCATCCGCAGATGACAATAAGACCTATGTTGTCACTGGATGCAGGCTCGTCTTTGGTGGCATGGCGCCCACGACTGTCATGGCTGCTAAGACACAGGCAGCACTGGTGGGCAGGTGAGTTCCTTTTCTCAAATGCATCAAGTGTCATGCATGCAGTAAAAATCTTGCTTTTGGGGGTGTCAGAAAAAGTTTGTTATGCTGAATAATTTGTTATGCAGTAATGTAAGATTTTTAAAATTGATGACAAAACACATTCACATGAGACCTACCAATACAATCAAATATACCATATTTCCTCAAGTACCACACGCACCTTTTTTCCCAAATTTCAGAAGAAAAAAAGGGGTGCACGTCATAAGCAGGAACAAATTTTTCAAGAAGTTTTAGGAAGTTATG